GGACGTGGGAGGTTCGGGGGGCACTGGGCGGTACTGGGCGGTACTGGTGGACACTGGTGGGCACTGGGCGGTACTGGGGGACACCGGTGCCCCCCCCAGGTACTACTACAACAAGCGCATCCTGCACAAGACGAAGGGCAAACGCTTCACCTACAAGTTCAACTTCAACAAGCTGGTGATGCCCAACTACCCCTTCATCAACATTCGCCCCAGTGGTGAGTGCGGCCTCGGGGCTTCCCGTTTCCCTTTCCCCCGCTCCCGGCGCCGGACCCGACCCCGCAGATCCCCCATCAGCCGTCTCCTCCCCGATGGGCGCTGATGGGAGCGTCTGGCCGCTGATAAAACCTTATCGGGAGCGTTTTCCCCTCGGGTTTGTCGCGGCCGGAGCCGCGGGGGAGGCTGGAGACCTTTCGGTTTCTTATTTGCTCGGGGGTTTTATGGGGTTTGCTTCGCCGGCGGGGAGACGGGCGGCCTTGGGATAAGGGGGTTTTAGGTCTCTTGGAGGGACCTTGCCTCGCTCACGTGGCCGGAACGTCGCTTTATTGTGCCATCGAAACGTGACCTTTGATGACAAGGAGCTTAGAGGGGCACGAACGGAGCGCTGGTGGAGAGTTTGCGGCTTTAAATCAGTTTAGTCTCCCCCCTTGGTTGCCTCTTTTCTGCTCCTTTTCTATCAAAAAGGAATTTTTCTGAATTTTTCTGAATTTCTGAAGTTAAGCCACAGAGCCGTAGCCCAGCGGAGTTTGACCCAAATCCCAAGAATTCGCTTCTCCCCGCCGCAGAACTGCGTGCTGCCGGGCAGGAGGAGGACAAATAATTTGTGAACAGAGCGCAGTCGCTCCCTGCTCATCCGAAAAATCCTTTTGAGCCTCTTGCTGGCAGGATTTCCCTCTGGGTTCATCCCAGAGTCGGCAGTGCCGCTGTGGTTTCTCTAGGGTTTTTTATTTTTATTTATTTTTGCAAAATCTTTTTTGGTGGAGTGAACTCCCCCCATGGCTCGATTTTTCTGCAGCCGGGGTGATCGCCTGCGTAACTGCAGAGCCGCTTGCGCGAGCAGGGGGATGAGTGACAATCGAGTCCATAAAAAAAAAAACCAAACTAAAAACAAAACCCTTCTGGAAGTCATCAGAGCGAGGTCCGAGACTGCAGACTCTCCGCAAAAAAGGGCGAAGGCAGCGGCGCCCGGACCAGCCTCTCTCCCAGCGCCGGGCGGCTGCTCCTCGCCTCGCCCCAGGGGAGGGGAAACCTTGAAGATCCGTCTGGCGGGGAGCGAGCAGGAGAAAGCGGGGATTGAGTGTTGACTCTGAAACCCCGGCGGCTGAGAAAAACAGGTTCCGCGCGGGCAGGAGCGCTTCTCGGTGCCCACGGACGGCGACGGCGCTCGGAGGGACCCACGTCCCTCCGCACCCCCAGGGAGTTCAGATTTGTTGGCAAATAGGAACCCCTGAAACGGGGCTGGGAGATGAGAAATATTCCTGCAAGCGTTCTGCTTCACCTCTGTTGCCTTCACGGCGGCAGGGAGGACGGGATGGGTT